TTGTTTGGGTTTCCAAGGCTGTAGAATCTGTGCAGAGTAGAAAGTCTCATGTTTCTACCAAGGAGCAGCTGGTGAGTTTGAACTGCCGACCTTGTAGTTAGCAGTCTGACTTGGAACCCACTACGCTACCAGGGCTTCACACATTTGATTCAAGGAGGAAACTGTTCGTGGTGCTTCACTTAAAGATGGTGGCCAGCCACCCCACAATACATAGTCAAAGTGACAGAGTTAACCACCATCTTTCAGCAGGTCACTGTTTCCATCGGTCACGATGTGCCATGGACGTTTGCTTCTGTGGGCTTTGACTGAGCTATTTAGGACGGCCATGAAGGAAGTCCTAAGGCAGACATATCAAAACCAAATTGATTGGAGGCTACCAGGGGCTGAGAGGGAGGAAAACGGGTAGTTAGTTATTACTTAAAGAGTAATTTCTGCTTGGGGGAAATAAAACCCAGTTGGAAAGGGCTAGTGGTGATGGTTATTTATACAAGATGCTGAATGTCATTCATGTGATTCACATGAAAATCGTTAGAATGGCAAATGTTTTATCAATATATATTTTACCCCAGTAAAAATTTAAATATATCAATAATGACAGCAACAACAACAACAAATCCAACAGACAGCCTTTCTCTCCAGCCCTGGCCTGACTTCTGCCATCTCAGCAGCTGCTCTTGATTGGAGGTCGCCCAGCACCGGAGGTGCTTAGGAAGAGGGTGGCCACAAAGCGGACAAGAAAGTCGCTGGAGTGGATCAGCTGTAGGTTCAATCGTTATAAAAAGTGGAAAATGCATGCTGGGCTACAAGCAGACTCTAAAGATGACCATCCTTCCAACAACTGCCCCGGGCCTTGAGAAAATCTGAAAGAGAGCACTCCGCCACGTTGGTCCAAACCAGTGCCCAACTTCAAGGGATGAGATAGGCAGTCTGGGGACTGCAGGGAGGGTGATGGGACGTGGGACTGGAGACCTCCACAGGAGCCAGGTCACATGGGGCCTTCGAGTTCAGAGAAAGTACATTGGTCCTTATCCTAAGAACCGTTTGAGTGGAAGCCTGGTGGTACAGTGGTCAAAAGTTACATTACCAACCACAAAGGTTGACAGTTCAAACCCACCAGCCACTACTCAGGAGAGAGACATGGTTGTCTCTCCTGTAAAGATTAGGGCTGTTGCTATTGTTGTTGGTATTTGTCGTTGAGTTGGCCCTAACTCATGGTGACCCTGTGTCCAATGGAACAAAACACTACCAGGTCTTCCACCATCCTGACAATTATTCTGATGCTTCAGCCCATTTGCTACCAGTGTGTCAGTTCATCTCATTGAGATCCTTCCTCTTTTTCGTTGCCCCTCTTGACCAAGCATGATGTCCTTCTCCGGGGACTGGACTCTCCCGATCACATGTCCAAAGTACGTGAAGTAAAGTCTTGCTGTGTTGGTCTCTAAGGAGCCTTCTGTCTGTCCTTCTTCCAAGACAGATCTGTCTGTCCTTTTGACAATCCATGGTAGTTTCCATATTCCTCAGCAACACCCTCGCTCAATTGAGTACCGCCTTGGAAACTCTTCTTGCACAGACCTGCTCTGTCCTGAGGTTGCTACGCACGAGAAGGAACTTTCCAGCAGTGGGCTTGGTTTGCTCATGGTTCGTGCAGATGGGCAGGTCTCGCTCCTTGGAATAAAGAACAGAGCTGGCTTCTAAGTAAGGTCATCTCCTTCCCACTCTTTGCCAGCCCTTTCCTGGAGCAGGCATGAGTTCCCTGCCTAAATCATGTACACTAAAGTCCCTGGGTAACTCTAGTGATTTGTGCTTGACTGCTTATCTAAAGGTTGGCAGCTCAAACCCACCCAGCGGCTCCAGCGAAGATGAGGCTTCACTGTCTGCTTCCATTAAGACGACAGCCAAGGAGACCCCACGGAACGGTTCTCAGGAGCACAGGGGGTCACCATGAATTGGCATCCACTCAACGACTAACGCCAACTGGATGGACACGACACACGATGGGATTCAAGGCAAAGCTTGGGTGTCTTGTTGGTTCAAGTGACCTGTCCTTGGGTCTCTGCTGCTTTCTTTTCTCTGGGAGAACTAGGAGACCCGAGGTGTCCAGATCTCAATCCCTGTGCTATTTTTATGAAAATGGACAGATTTTCTCTCTGTCGACAATGGTAAACCCCTTTCTGTGGAGGGACAGGGCTGCAGCTTGTTTCTATGGCAACTTAATGTCAGAAACCTAATTCAGAACTCTTGAGTTTTATTTTCAGAAACTGCTTTTTTGGAAAGGCCTGGGCCAGTGGAGGCCAGGCTGTAGCAGTGATTTTAAGTTTCTTGTGCTTTCTGGATTTGTTTGTTCATCAGATAAGGATGAAGGACCTCCCTCATGTCTGTGCACTTCACAACAGATGCAGGCATAGAAGCAAAGCCTTCTACCTCCGAAAAACTGGCTGTTCGAATCCCAACGGAGCACAGTTCTATGTTGACCCACATGGGAGAGTCAGGCATCAAAATGGACTTGACAGAATGGCCCTGGGTTGAGATGTGGTCATTTAAAAACGGTGGAGTTTTCGTGAGAGAACCTTGTTTATAGCTGTGGGAAGCAACGTGGGAAGCAATGGAGTTGTTGGCCATTGCCAAGCTGGTTCCGACTCCTAGTGACCTTGTGCCCAGCAGAACCAAACGTGACCCCATACCATCTTCATCATCTATTATATATTTGAATCCATTGCTTCGATGCCTATGTCCACCCATCTCAGGGAGGTCTTCTCTGGTCTTTGCTGTCTTTCTAACTTGACCGAACATCCTGTCCTTCTCCGGCACTGGTCTTTCCTGTTGGCGAGTCCAAAGTAAGAGAGCCAAAGTCTCACCATCCACGCTCCAGGGAGCATTGATTGTTTTCCTTCTAAGACCGATGTCTTCATTTGTTCTCGCGCAGTCCACAGTGTAGCCAGTATTCTCCGCCAACACCTCCGTTCAGATGCAGCTGCTCTTCTCCATCCATGGTCCTTTTCCACTCTCCGACCTTCACAACTGGACCGATGAACAGCAGCCTGTGAGACAGGAAAATGATTGAGCGGTCACGGACTTCATCCGGCCTGGATCCACCAGCAGCGCTCGTGGAAGCAGCAGCCCAGAGATCACATGAGGGATTGAATTGGACAAATCTGCTGCCAAAGACCTCGTTGAAGGGTAAAGAGCAAAGATGTCCCCTGGAGCACCTGATCCGAGCCGGCATATTTCAGTCACCTCCAACGCACGTGGAAATTGAAGTCAGGCTTTAAGGGAAGAAGAACCGGTGCAGCACTTGGATGATGGTGCTGGTGACGATCATCGAAAGGACCACAGACCGCCAAACGAACCGACGGATCTTTTCTTGGAAGCAGTACCACCAGCATGCTCCTTAGAAGCGAGGGTGGATAGGCTCTGTTTCATAGACTGCGGACGTGTCCTCAGGAGCGACCAGTCCCTGGAGAAGGACATCGTGCTTGGTAAAGTGGAGGGCAGCAAACAAGAGGAAGGCCCCGACGAGATGGATGGGCACCGTGGATGCCCCGAGGGGCTCAGGCAGAGGCACGGCTGTGAGGATGGCGCAGGACCCGGCGGTGTTTCGTTTTGTTGTACGTAAGGTCTCTGTGAGTCGGAGCCAACGGGGCTGTACTTCACAGCGCTAAACAACAACCACTTCCACGCGCCTATGCGGAACAATACCACTCCTTCTGAGCCCCTGCATGCTTCCGATCGTGGCATTGGATCTGTGTTTGTCCTCCCCAAAGGAAGAAAGAAAAGAACACATGGGGTCCCGTTAGGAGGGTCCTAGCAAAGGCTGCCAAGCCATCGAGTCCCAATCACTCTGAGTTTACCGATTCGGGGCTGAGGTTGGCCTCACGCCTCCATGGTCTCTGAGACTGCAAACAAACTAGTCGCCAGCGTCAGGGACAAGCATCGGGGGAGCCCTTGTCAGTCCTCAGGACACCCCGTCCACATCCATGTCATCTCAGCCTCCACCCCCTCTCTGCTGGGCAGCCGGGACCTTGTCCTCACTTCTGCGAGGTTCACTTGCAGAATTGAAACCGTAGTGGAGGCTTGTAGAGGTTTGTTTGTAAGAAGTGGCTGTTCCCACCCACTGTCCCTTGAGATATAAATAGAAGAAAGAAGAAGAAGAAGAAGAAAAGAGAGCTTGAGAGATTTAATTAGTAAGGCAAGACATTTGAGCTATGGCCACTCGATCTTGAAAAAGAAATTTAAGAGGCGGTACCGATCGCTCTTTCGATCCTATATAAGGTGGATCTGCAAGGCAGCAAAAGCGCCTGTGTTTGTTGTTCTCATTTGTTTGTTTGTTTGTTTGGCTTCCTTCGCTCTTCTTCTTGATTCTTCTTCAGGAAAAAGAAAGCTAAGAAAGGTGAGTAGCTGGTGGGCCTCCCGGGACCCAGGCTCTTCTCCCCTGTGTGTATTCTCTCTAGCTTTGTGCCGGCCGGGCTCCAATTTCTCTTTCCCTGTGGAGTTGACACCTGGAAGGATCCGGGTCTCGGGTAGCTTGGCTTTTCATTCACGGGGTCTCCATCCTTCAGGGCACAGAGGAGAGAGCGTCTTTGCCACACGAGGTCTGCAGGCAGCCTGCCCTGCGTCCTTTCCTGGGTGTCATTTGCAACCATGCATTTGCCCAGCAAGTCTAGGTTTGCTCCAGAATGCTGGTTTGTAGCTGACTGTGTAAGTGGTGGGCGATGACAAGACACGCTCTTATTTCTTATTCTTATCAGAATAAGAAAACAGAATTGAATCATTGTTTAGATCATTTAAATCATTGCTATTATTATCATCATCATCATTATTATTATTATTATTGCTTTGGCACGTAGTCAAGAGAGGGCACTGGGGTCTTTTCAATCTTTGGCTTTTAATTGGCGTGCTCTGTCCCACCACCCTTCTCCTTTTTGAGAGAAACATTTCTAGGCAGGCAGAGCAATGGCGTCCCAGGCTGCCAGAGGGCACGTGGCCCTGTCTGCGCCTGCCCGTGCTCCCTGCTGACCGCGTGTTGTTGGTTGCGTGGCTAGGTGGAAGATGAGCATCACGGACATTCTCAGTGCTGATGACATCGCCGCGGCCCTGCAGGAGTGCCAAGGTAAGTGGAGGATGTGAGCCCGCAGGCCGGTGCTCACTGCTCTCACCTGTCCCCATGGCTGGTGACCCAACAGGGATGCCACACAAACTTCGCTGACGATTCACCAAATCGGAGAACAGCAGCTAAGTTAGTAAGGAGGCACGGAAAGGCTAAGGACAGGAGACCCTGAGCATCGAAAGCATTTCCGTAACCGTTCCCGCTGGCAAGTGACCCTGTAGCACTGTTCGCGGAGGGTGTCCATGGCTGAAAGTCTGACAAGAGCAGACAGCCACAGACAGAGCTTTCTGCTAGTGATCAAGCCCTCCGCTGCTGGGCCCCAGGGCTGCTTTGCCAGAGGAAGCCTTCCGTGAAGTGAAAAGCAACATCAGCGGATGGAGCCACCCAGTGCATTGATCACCACACTGAGATCAGTAGTGCAGGGAGCTCAGATGCACCGTCGGTGGAGGTGGGATGGGCGTGGAGAAAGGGAAACAGGAATCAGACGGCGAGTGGAAAGGGGCAGGAGATGCTGACACAGAGATGTTAGCTCAGAGCCACCTGGCCTTGGTCGATTCAAAATCCTGGACCAGTTTGGCAGCCCTTCTTTGTCCTGCAAAGACTTGGTAGCTCAAGGATGCCATGATAAGTGTTTGGTTTGGTTTTTTTTTTCCAAGAGTTTTATTGGCAAGTAATTTACATACCATCGAAATTCAATAATTCAATCATATTAAGGAGAATGGTACAATCACGCCCACATCGATTTTAGAGCATTTCCCCCTCCCATGGTTAAATTACCTCTAAGATGAGTTAGACAATCACAATCCGCTCTAGTGCTCCCCCACCCCACCCCCTTCCCAATAAGTATTCTTAACAGCCTGCGCCTTCAGCACCTCGGTCCAAGTACAGGCGCTTCGGAATAACTTATTCTCTGTTCTTCAGACCCAGATACTTTTGAACCCCAAAAATTCTTCCAGACCTCAGGCCTCACCAAGATGTCAGCCAGCCAGGTGAAAGATGTCTTCCAGTTCATCGACAACGACCAGAGTGGGTACCTGGATGAAGAAGAGCTTAAGTACGCGTGGTCCTTACTTGTCTGCTGCGTGGATGGGCCGGTATGGGGCAGGGCAGGCCAGCTTTCAGCATTCCCTCCACGGCCCGCTCAATTGCTCATCACTGGCCCCTCAGCTGAACCTCATTAAAGGCAAACATCGAGCCAGGGTCCTGCAGGCCGAGGGCAGAAAATACATTACCCCCCTCCCCCACGGGAGGGGTTTTCATGGGCAGATGGGCTTATCAGAAGAAATGGAGCAGATCTTAGAACCCAGACGCCCACCACATGAGTTTCCCCCTTTGCTGGCTAAGACCTGGCCTGATGATTGCAAACAGATGGTTACCTGAGAGGGGGGGAAAAAAAAAAAGATGAGAGAGCACACACGCGCGTCGTTTTTGTTTTTCAGAAAACCCCCGTCTGTCTTTGTCATCCGTAGGTTTTTCCTCCAGAAGTTTGAGAGCGGCGCTAGAGAACTGACCGAGTCAGAGACCAAGTCCTTGATGGCCGCTGCGGACAACGACGGAGATGGGAAGATCGGGGCTGAAGGTACGCCCGTCCCCGGAGGGGCCTAAGACCTAGCACTCAGACAGACGTGGGCTTGACACCTCTGAACCGTCACGGCCGCTGGTGACAGTGAGTTTATGAGAATCGGCAGTTCAAACCCACCAGCCGCTCTGAGGGAGAAAGATGAGGCTGTCTGCCCCCACAGCAAAGTACACGTTCTCAGAAATCCGAAGTAGAAACAGTTCTACTCGGTGCTAGTCAGAATGGCTGGATGGCAGCGGGCCTTTAATTTAAGATTGAACGTCACTCATCTAGCCAGGGACCCTCAGTCATTGCATCTAGACAATGGGACCGAGGTGAGGTTACAAATGAGGCATGGAAAGTCTCTGGCATGATGCCTGGGGATGGAACCCCCCAAAACACTGCCGTGGAGCCAATTCTGACCCATAGCCTGCCTCTAGGGGGTTTCCCAGACAGTGCATCTCTACAGAAGCAGACAACCTCATCTTGCTCCTTTGGAGTAGCTGTGGGTTTGAACCTCTGACCTCAAGGTTAGCAACCTGATAGTTATCCCATGACACCACCACGGCCCCTCCATGGGGGATGTACCAGGGAAGCCAGCTTTTCTGGTCATTGTCTATGAACCGAAAGCGTCCCTCACCCAAACTACCTGGTTCTCCATTGCGTGCCATCCCGGGGCACCTTGCAAAGCAGCCAGAGGATGTCAATTGAGCCCATGTGAATGAGAGCAGGATCCTCTTTCTGAAGTGTGTCTCTGCTCTGAGTGGAAAGACCTCTGGGCCTTAAAGGATCACCCTTTGGGTCATCGACCCACTGAGTGAATGATATTAGAGAACAAGTAAGTCGGCCACCAGATATGCAGTCTGTTGCATTGTTGCATACAGCGTCCTGTATTGGAACATGAATGCCCTCCCCACGGCCGTGGGCATCTTTCTGCTTTCTTTTGTCCTACAGCTTGTGTGCATCTTAGTGCCCAGGCAGGACAACGGAGGCCGAGTGGTCCTTCTGGCAGCGCGGATTCGAAATAAAGAAACTGCTCTTTGAAATCTGTATTTCCAAAACCTGTTCAGGAGGAGACCCCTGTGCCTACTAGGCAGAAATGAACGCAGTTTCTCCAGCTAGCCCTCGGAGGGATTGTTTAGGTCCCCGGAGGCGGCTCATTCATTTACACAGCCCCCCAACAGGGCCTTCCCCCCAGGGCCAAACTTCTCAATGGATAGAAAGCAAATCTCCAGTGTCCCCTTTCAGTCTGTAGTAGCCACATCCTGTCTCACAGCGTTCTGTCTCAGGAAACCAGAACCCGCTGGAGAAATGCGCTCCAGGAATACGGAATGGGAATTAGCGGTCAGGTTACACCTTGTCCGGGCAGAAGCCGTGTGAGATGCTGGTGAGGGGCTGGGAGACGGTCTTCTCTCGGTCCAGCTCTCTAGGGTGTCCTGCATTCAGAGTCCCCTCGCTGCCAGGTTCCCTCTGTCACAGGTGTTGCTGTCTAAACTTTTGGGGAGAGGCTTATTGTTGCTTTTGTTCGGTGCCATCAAGCTGGTTCCAGTTCACGGTGACCTGTGTACCACAGAACGAAACGCTGCCTGGTCCTTCTCCAGCGTTATCACAGCTTTTACATTTGAGCCCATCGTTGTAGCCACGGTGCCCCTCCATCTCCTCTAGGGCCTTCCTCTTGGTCACTGCCCATCTGCTTTACCAAGCACGATGTCCTTCTCCAGGGACTGGCCTCTCCCGACAGCATGTCCAAAGTATGTAAGATGAAGTCTGGCCGTCTTACTTCCAAGGAGCATTCTTCCTTGCTTCTCCCAAGATGGATTGGTGTGTTCTTCTGGCTCAGAGTATCGTATGAACACTAAAAAGGCGGGGACGTCTCACCCTATGACATGTATCCTCAAAAGGCACCCCGCGGCTACGGCAGGGGAAGAGCTCCTCCCCTTTCTATTGCAAGGTAACCAAACCAAAAGGTCAAGGCTCACAGATGGTGACCGGCAACGGCACAGTGGTCATGGTCAGCGAAACGCAGCTGGCCAGGTAGGTCCACCTACAAGGGGCTTCCTCTGCAGAGATGAAACTGCAGTGATGCAGTGGGTAAAGCACCTGCCTACCCGCCAAAAGGCCAGAGGTTCAAACCCACCGGCCGCTCTACGGGAGAAATGTGTGTCAGTCCGCAATCCGGAAAGATGACCGCCCGAAACCAATCCTTGAAATGGCGCGGATGCACGCTGGCCGGTCCGATCGGGTCACTATGAGTCGGGGTCGACTCAAGCTGTTTTAGGCAGTGGATGGGCGGGTTAGGCAGAAAGCTGGGATGCTTTGGCGACCGGGCTCCAACATCACTTCCTTTCTGTGCTTACCAAGAGGTGTCACGCTTGGTCAAGGAGCGGGTCAGCGAGAAAGAGGAAGACCCCCTAGGACATGGCCAGGCACTGTGACCCCAACGTAGCAGGCGTAGTGAGGATGGCGTGGGGCCAGGTAGTGTTGGGTTCCATCGCGCACGAGGTCGCTATGAATCAGAACCGCCTCGACGGCACCTGACCACAACCGGTGGAGGGAGGGTTGTGGCAGTCATCTGACAATTTGGGTTGGGCACCGGAGTCCCCAGTCAGCAGTGTGAAACCACCAGCCGCTCCTCAGGAGAAAGATGGGGCTTTCTGCTCCTGGGAGGATTTACCGTCTCGGAAAGCCCAGGGGCAGCGCTCCCCTGTCCGAACGGGTTGCTGTGAGTCAGCATCAATTCAGATGGCAGTGAGTTCCATCAAACCAGTGGGCCACCCCTCCCCAAAAAACCAAACTCTCTTCCATCAAGCTGATTCCAACCCATGGTCACCCAGTCTAGGGTGTCCAAGTCTGTAATCCCAGAGCAGACAGCCTCCTCTTTCTCCCAGGGAGCAGCTGTGGAGTTTGAATCGCCACCCTTGAAGAGAAGCAGCTCGGCGGCGATCCACAGCGCTGCCAGGGGGCCGCGGTGTGTCTTGAAAGGACAGCCATCCCCACTGACTGTCCTCACCTCTCTGTTCCAGAATTCCAGGAAATGGTGCATTCTTAAAGGCCTCCAGTCTGGAGACAGAGGACAGAGAGACAGGGACGGGACAGACAGCTGGAAGACCTCCAAACCCCAAGAATTGGAACACCACCCCCACACACACCCCGCCGCCGCCTGCATCTTCCCGATTTATCCATTCGTTTCCCCTGACCAATTTCTGCCCTTGGCTCCTAGTTGGAGTGGGGTCATAGGACAGCCGTGGATGACGGTCTGTGGTGGCGAGCATTCCCTGATGACTCTTGTAAGACCCTTAGCAGACAACGCCTTTAAAATAATAATAGTAATAATCCAATAAAGACATGTTTCTCATCATCCCCTGCTGTGTGGGTGTGGGTGTGTTCTTTTCCTTTCTCTCTGTTTCGAGGAAGAAAGCAATTTGAGGAAAGGGCAGCAGGAGGGTCGGAAAGATGGAGGCATGGAGATGGGAAAGGAGGGAGGTCTGGTCCGTAAACACTCACCCAAGCCACGAGGAGCAGCTGCCACAAAGAAAGAAAAGGAGGCCCTGGAGGGCCCAGGCTGTGAGCACGGGAGGTGGGCATCGGTGGACAGGACAGCCAGGGGGTCCGGTTGGGGTTTTAAAGGACCTACAGTGGCACGGTCACGCGAGGGCTTGCTCAGCCAGTCAGCGCCTCTGACATGAACGTGGAGCTGAGTCAGGCTGTGACCCTGTCACAAGAGATGTAAGTGGGCAACGGACAGAGGAGCGGACCCCGCTGCCATCGTCATGGTGGCCTTGTGAACAACTGAGCGGGCGCTGCAAGCTCCTGCTCCGTCTGCACCCTTGTTGGTGTGTCTCCATGTGCTGTGTGTCTCCAGTGCCTTCCAGGCTAGGGAAGCCTTCATGGAGGTGCTGGCCGGTAGGTGATGAGCCACAAACCCCAAGGCCAGTGGTTCAGAACCAGCCTCTCCTCGGGAGGAAGATGAGGTGGTCTGCTCCCATCAAGATCGCCACCTTCGGAAACCCAACACAAGTTCACTCCTTGGCAGTGGGTTCAAACGAGGGGGCTCATCTTCCCACACCATCCCCGACCATCTGCTGTGCTTCATGGGCTTTCCCTGGCCCCCTTTCAGGGGTCAATGGCCAAGCCTCTCGTTCCTGGTCTGTCTTCCTCTGGAGGCCCCAGTGAAATCTGTCCACCCGTGGGACCCCACTGGCATTTGCATTCTCAACGGGACACGGAAACTACCCAAGGCCCCCAGTTTGGGGCTGGTCACAGGGGCCACAAACAAAGGAGAATGGCCAAACCCACTCAGCTGCCACCTGGGCGACTCAGGCTCCTGACAGCCCACATGGTCAGAGCAGAACTGTGTGCCGTGGGGTTGTACAGGGGCTGGTCTCTCGTAAGCGGTGAGCCCATACCTCTCTTCCAGTCAGCAGCCAAGTGCATTAACCATTCACACCAGGTAGAGACTCCCATCCTGTGCGATTCCACAGCCCCAGTGTCAAGCCTTCTCCCGCCCCACTGAGAAAACAAGCTATTTGAGACCTGCTTGTTCTCCGCCGACCTCCCACCCCTGCAGCTGGCCTCCCTCACGACTTTCCTGGCACCCACCTGATACCATGTCGGTACACCTCTCTTGCCCCAGCAGGTGGGGTGGCCCCAGGGGTCCTGTTACCAGGCTGACATTGGGGCTGGGAAGCGTCCAGCCGCAAAGCTCTCCTGATGGCTGCTTTCCGGATGGCCTCTCAGGCTGCCGCTGAGCATGAGGACACTTTGGGGCGCCTGAGGCCTCCTCCCAAACCCAGACTGGCAAAACCCTGCTCGCCCCTCTGGCTCTCCCACCCCCACCCCCACCCCCGCACACACACACACTCTCCCACCCCCACCCCAACACACACACACTCCCACCCCCACCCCAACACACACACACACTCTCCCACCCCCACCCCAACACACACACGAAGACCCGGCGCCTTTGGAATCTCTGATTGTGGTGGTTACCGTGTTGGGGATGAGACTCAACAGAGCAAAACACACGTTCACCGATGCCAGCTAGTTCCGTGGCATTGGTTATATCCTTCCCTTGGTATCAACCATCTTCATGTTCCTACTCAAATCCTTTCACCTCCTTTAACTTTGACCCATTGCTGCCCACCCCCCACCCCATCTTCTCTGCTGCACTGTGATTAATGGAGCCAAACCGTGTTTTAGCCTAAAGATGATTTCAGGGGCTAGTTTTGGCCAGCGGAAGAGACTATCTCAGGGCAATCGTTCCGTGGGCTCCTCCAGTCTCAGTGGATCTAGGAAGCCTGGAATCCTTAAGAATTTGAATATCGAATGATGAGGGCAATGCATGTACAACTGTGCTTTACACAACTGATGTAGGTATGGATTGTGAGAAGTGTTGTATGAGCCCCCAATAAAATGATTTTAAAAAAAGAATATATAACCCCCCCAAAATTTGAATATCTGTACAACAATGTTCTCCCTTTTGATCACGATCTATCTATCATGGCTGTGATCAAAATGTTCGGTTATGGTAGCTGGGTACCAGCTAGTGCAGCGGTTCTCAACCTGTGGGTCGAGACCCCCTTGGGGGTCAAACGACCCTTTCACAGGAGTCGTCCATTTCATGACAGTAGCAAAATGACAGTGATGAAGTAGCAATGAAAATAATTTTATGGTTGGGGGGTCACCAGTACGTGAGGAACTGTCTGAAAGGGTCGCGCATGAGGAAGCTCCAGTGCTTCTGGTCTCACGCTACAGGAAGCTGCAGTTGAGGGAGGCAATGAGTCCTGTACTCCACCTGCTTCCCTGCGGAGTCCCTGTTGTTTGTTTCTAAGAGGATCTGGATAAGGCAGTTTTCAAATTATGGGGGCATACAACAAGAGGGGTTCACGATGACTTTAAGGGGACAGAGAACAACAGTCTTTTGAAATATAACTTTATTTTTTAGAGCAGTTTTAAATTTAATCCCAAAAAATGCAAATAAACTACCAAGAGTTCCCATAAGCCCCTTTTTCTTTCCTGCACCATTTCTCCTATGGGTCAATTTTTAAAAATTGCATTCATTTTCATTTTCATATGCAACTGAATCAAACCAAACACACAGAGACACGATTTCAATACCACTGTTTAGTATGAGGCCAAAGAGAATATCAGACTTGTGAAAGTACATCCATTTGAAGAAGAATAAGGGATAGCGGAGGGGGTATCAGAGTCAACCCAAACCTCATAGTTTTCCAAAAAGTCCATGTTGGGGAAAAGTTTTAAAATACAGAACCACTTGGGGGGTGGTCACCTTCTCCCTGCACATGCCACTCTCTACCTATTCACCCCTCCCCAATGTGCCCTCATCCTGACAAGCATCAGGCGAGCTCCTCTCACCACCTGCTTCTGAAGCTTTTGTGAATCAGAACACAGGCAACAAGAGACCCTTCCTGTTCTGTGTTGATGACCTACGTGTTGGGGCTGCTGCTGGGTGCTGCTGACTCCTAGCGGCCGATGTGACAGAGGAGAGCTGTCCCGTAGGGTTTCCCAGGTAATGCCCAAGAATACCAAGCAGACGACCAGCTGCCAGCAGAATGAACAAACCCGTCTGCAGGAAGTACAGCCAGAATGCTCCTTAGAGCCACTGAAAGAGAGAAAGATCGTCAGCAAGATGGAGTGACTGCAACGGTGTCGGCAACAGGGGTTCAAGTCTAGCAACGGCTGTGATGACACAGGACCACGCAGTGCTTCATGCAGCTGTGCACGGAGTTGCCATGAGTCGAAACTGACTCAACCTAACAACAACAACAACAATAACCATCTTTCTGGTAGCAGACCGCTAACTAAGTCTTTGCTCCCTCGAGGTCTCTGGGTAGATATTCCATCTGCTGACATTTTGGTTAGTGGCTTAGCGCGTCATCACTGCGCCACTAGGGCTCCTTTTCTGAAGCCCTAAGAACCCTTTTTGTTTAGAACAACGGCCTACAATAGCGCTCTGCACCACCTGCAGCTATTTTATATGTTTGGGTTGGATTGGGTTCTTGGCATTTTGTTATCCAGGGGGTGCTCTTAGGGGGTCATCCCATCCCCAGTGGGGAGGTCACACTGACTCTAAGAATATTTGTTTATGTGTTTGTTAATTGTTGTTGTTAGACGCCACCAAGTTGATTCCCGCTCATAGTGACCTGGTGTTCAGCAGGACAAAACGCCCCCCATCCGCGCATCCTCACAGTTGTTGTTTGTGTAAGCCCACTGCTGCCGCTGCGGTGTCAGCCCACCTTGCTGAAGACCCTCCTCTTTTTTTCTGCCCTCTACCAACCACGATGTCCTTCTCCAGGGTCTGGTCTCTCCTGACAACATGTCCAAAATATGTGAGACGAAGCTCATCACCCTTACCTCTCAGGAGCATGCTGGCTGTACCTCTTCCAAGACAAATTTGTTGGGTTTTTGGGCAGTCCACAGTAAATTCAATATTTGTCACCAGCACCATAGTTCAAATGCGTCAGTTCTTCTTTGATCTTCCTCATTTAGTGTCCACATGCGTAAGAGGTGAGTGAAAATATGAAGTGCACCTCAGTCCTCAAAGTAACATCCGTGCTTTGTAACACGTGAAAGAGGGCTTGAGAAGCGGGTTACCCAAGGCAAGCATCATTTGATTTCTTGACTGCTGCTTCCATATGAAGTTGCAATGTTTAATTTTGTTGTTGTTTTCCTTCATTCAGACTTTGTAGAATCATTCTAAACATACTGATTTCTAGAGCTTTGCTGGTGACGAGTGTCCCACTACCGCCGAGGCACCTCTGTCTCCCAGCGACCTTTTCAGACAGAGTGGAACTGTTCCCTAGGACTGCCAAGACTGTACATCTCTACGGGCACAGACAACCTCTCCCGAAGAGCAGCTGGTGGGTCTGAACTGCTGACCTTGTGGTTAGTAACCCAACTCATCCACCAGGGCTCCTCGATGACTACAGTAGGAAAGTGAACATTCTTTTCAAACACTACTTGAGTGGAATCATCATATAAAGTTCACAGACTCCAAACCAAGCCAGTTGCCCTGGGGTAGACTCTGACTGTGGCACCCCCGTGTGTTTCAGCACAGAACTGCACGCCATGAGTTTCCTACTGGCTGATTTTTTAACAGCGCCGCAGGTGGATTCAAAGCCCAGCCTTTAAGTAACTTCAGGAGAAATACGAGGCTTCCTACTCCTGTAAATCTTATAGTCCCGGGAGTTCACCAGGGTAGTTCTACCCTGTCCTACAGGGTCACTGTGTCTCAGAATTGACTTCATGGTAGTGAGATCCAATACATATCTCACAGGGGTGGGGGAAAGACCACTAGGGCAGATGGCAAGAGTTACAAGCAGTTATCTCCAGCTGGTAGGATTACAGAGCAATCAGATAAACTGAGTCTTTTGTAAAGGGGGGGGCTAGTAACAAAAGAACATGAACAACATCGATGTCAAATTAACCCAATTCTTATTCCCAAGTCAACCAAACCAAACCAAACCAAACCTACTGCCACTGAGTGGATTTCGACTCGTAGTGACCCTTTACGACACAGTGGGACTGCTCCTTAAGGGTTTCCAAGGCTGTTGATCTTTATAGGAGCAGTTCGAACCCACCAGTCACTCCTGGAGCGGCAGGTGAGACAGTCTACTTCCCTAAAGTTTACAGAACCCGATGGGGCCTTTCTACTCACTCAGCTTACTATGAGTTGGAATCAACTGGACGGCAGTACCTGCACATTATGAAAGGTTCATCGGATTTTTGAACAAAAGGGTCTTCAAAGTAGCCCTTTCAGTTAAAAGATGAAGAAGAAGAAACAACTGCATAGCAAAACAGTGAGATTGTGAGATTCCTGTTGGTTTGTTCAGGGTTACAAGCAGCCTGGGTAATTCTGTGTACAGAGTGATGTCTAATTTTGTGTAGTGACTTCTAAGGGGGTCCAATTTCAAGCAAAACCCTATCTGAGATCTCGCCTGCTCCTTTTCAGGCTCCGTATCGCCGCTCAGCAAACACTTAAGAGGACAGATGAAATTGGAAGCACCCTGACAGTTTCCACCTGGCCTGATCATTTATTCACTGGAAAAACTATTACATAACATTTTAACGGTTTTCAAAAAGTCACCTTCAGGGCAGGGGTAGCAGGTAGATTTTTGGCCTTGTTCACAAACTCTGTGCAAAAGATATCTTGCTTTTTGTTTGTTTCTTCTTATAGCTGAAAAGAGGAGACCTAGTGGTATAGTGGTTACAAGCTGAGGTGCTAACCACAAGATCAGAAGTTTGAAACCACCAGACTCCACGGGGGGAATAGGGAGCTTTCTACTCCTGTAAAGTGACAGCCTCAGAAGCCCACAGGGGCAGTTCTACTCTGTCCTATATGGTCACTATGAGTCAGAATTGACCCTGTGGCAATGAGTGTGGGGTGGGTTTGTTTTTGTAGTAGAAAAGGTAACACACACACACACACACACACACACACACACGGTGACAGAATTGGAATGCCGTGTAAGTCAGGCAGATTAGGCTTCTCCTGGCCCTTCTGTCCCAGGTTGGGGGAAGAAGGCTTCTCTGCCAAGGTCCCATATGAGAAACGTGGATCTGTGGACAGCCCACACAAGTCCACGAAGTTACCCTTGTTCTGCTACCGCCTCAAAGTCTTAGCAGTGGGTCCACCCAGACCACAGCTGCTGCTTCCTTACCTGCCCCGGGTGCCCCTAAGGTGTGGTTTCCCTCAATTCTTTCTGTGCTCCTTCATCGCACAAGTAAGACATGTCGCTACTTCCTGGACTGGTGGGGCTGGCTGCCTATCCAGCCAGGCGGCTGTCACTGCTATCACTGCTTGAGGGGACTCTTTAAGGCTGTCACCTCTCCTAGGTCTCCTGGGATACGAAGACACACAGTCCCACCCACCAACTCTAAGAGCCCTGGTGGGTAGAGCAGTGGTTGCCCATTGGTCTGCTAAATGGAAGGTCAGCAGTTTGAAACCACTGTCAGCTCCAAAGGAGAAAGACAGGGTCTTCTACTCCTATAAAGAGTAACACTCTCAGAAACCCACGAGGGCAGTTCTACCCAGTCCTAGGGCATTGCTTTGAGTGGGCATCCACTCCATGGAGATCAGTTCTGACCTGGGCATGTCGGCACTCCCGTGCCTGCCTCACACCCACACACTGCCCTAGGCTAGGCTGGGAGAAGAGGCAGAGTAACCATCATCTAAGCTTGACTGCTTTGCTGGGTTTTGAGACCAATCAGCATTTTCTTTGACTTCAACTTTGGGTTTGTTTTTGTTTTGTTTATTATTGTTCCTCTCCCTAGGCAATTAATGCCACTGATTACGTGGGTGAAAGACAGCGTGCACATGGAAGTGGATGGGTGGGAGAGAAAGCCTGGCTGTTGCTGGAAAGTGCTTATTGCATCCCATCGACTTCTACTTTACAAGGTACGCTCCTCTGTGTTGTGTTGGGCTGTGAACTGCAAAGTCTGCAGGTTTGAACCCACCGTGGTGCTCAGCCTTCCCAATGACCCTTTCATACCTTTCCTCATGTTGTGGTGACTCCCCCCACAACCATAAAAGTATTTTTGTTGCTACTTCTTCACTGTAATTTTGCTATTGTTATGAATCGGGTGACCCCTGTGAAAGGATGGTTCAATCCCCAAAGGGGTGGAGACCCACAGGATGACAACCGCTGCCTTAAAAGAGTAAGTCTCAGAAACGCACAGGGGGCAGTTCTACCCTGTCCTGTAGGGGCATAATGCGTCAGAAGGAAGCCATGAGAGGGCAGTGAGCTTGGGTTTGGGGTAAGTTTGGGGAAACGATGGCTTTAATTCCCAAGGATGTATTTCTAATGGAAGCCTTCGGTGCACAGGGGCAGGCTAGCGGATCAGAGTTAAATCCTGAACAACAGGAAGTCCGTCTTTACAGTAGAGCCTCAAATCCAGTTTCTAATCTCTACATGGATTCGGGCGCCACTGAGTCCTTTCCAACCACTGACCACCAAGAGAAGGGACAGTCTTGTTTCAGACAGCATGTGAAAGTGGATTGCTATCCCTCCCGCAGCCCACCTAGGGGACAGGCAGGTGGGCCCTTGGGGAATTGCCTGAGTGTGCCCTGGATGGAAAATGGGCTACTATAGGCACCTAGGTGGTGTAGCGGGTTACAAGTTGGACTGCTAACAGCAAGGTCATCAGTTCGAAACCACCAGCTGCTCCACAGGAGGCAGATGGACCTTTCTACTCCCATCAAGAGTTACAGTCTTAAAACAAAACAAACCCCAAAGTTACAGTCTTGGAAACTCACAGGAGTAGTTCTGCCCTGCCCTCTAGGGTCGCTCGGAGGGAGCATCCACTCAATGGCAGTGAGTTTGGCTTAGGCGTACCAATTTGTAAGCGCTTGTGCATATTCCTAAGGGCTGGGCTGTCTGGGCAGGGATGGGGCCTGAACCCTAGCTTGTGAAGTGGATCTGGGTAGCGCAAGGTGGTGTCCCGTTTTGTTTTGTTTTTATAAATGTTGAGCCCTGTGTAGGAGTTCCACCATTCTGGGCTGGTTGGGGGATGACGCCTTATCTCCTGAGCCTGCTTGAAGTCAGATTCTGGTCAACTGCCTCGAAGGACAAATTCTCTGGGGGGCAGATCAGCTATTTGAGGCTGGAAAAAAACAACATCTTTTAGAGATCTGATCAGCTTCTTAGCCAAATAGTGTAGCCCCAGGGCAGAGTGGGGATTGCTTTCAGCTGCTTCCTCTGCACAGATGAGCTGCTGCTGAAACAAAGGGTCCTGTGCACAGGCCTCCAGCTCACACTAAGGGTCTTTTCCATCCCCGAAGGGTTAGGAACAATGAGCAGTTTTCAACCTGTGGGTTGAGATCCCTTTGGGGATCGGACAACCCTTCACAGGGGCCTCTGATTCCTAACAGTAGCAAAATGACAGAGATAAAGTAGCAACGAAAATAATGTTATGGTTGGGGGGTCACCACCATATGAAAGGGTCGCAGCATGAGGAAGGTTGGGAACCACTGCAGCCTGTCTCGTTTACAAATGAGAGTCTAGAAAATTGACCCAAGGCCCCTTATCTGATGTTGACAGGGTTGGAATCCGCGCCTGGACCTATCTCCTGCCCAAATCCCAGGGCACATCCCACAGTCAGTTTCTGAACTAAAGCTGTGCCAGGTGAAGCAGCCTAGGGTCCTCTTGAGTTTGGCCCAGAGGCCTGCTACAAGGGCTTGACCTCCAAGTAACTGAAGGAACACGGGGTTCTAAGGCTTAGAGACCTGTGATTGGCACTGCGGCGGCTGCACACTGGGCCTCACCTTCCACCGGCATGGGCCTTTCCACCCGCCTCCAGGGAAACCGGGTCCATGCCTCGGTGCAAGTTGGATCCCCAGGATAACTTGAGGTCTCTAGAACAAGTATCCAAAAAACACCTACAGGCCTACAGGTGATGCAAATGAGGGCTCTTCTGCCAACACAGGTGCGTCTTGGTACAACAGCTCTCCCCCCCTGCCACCCAATCTGCTCCTGTTTCTTTAAAACGCGCGGCGCTCGGGAATCGTCGGAATAGCAAGTTGGGAGCCAACCACGAAATCTCGTCGGCATTTGAACTCTTAAAAAAAACAAAACAAAAACACTACAGCATTGTTATCGGGGGAAACGAGCCGCCCGGGGTGCCAGGCTGTG